TGCACACACCTCGGGCACACACCTCGTGCACACACCTCATGCACACACCTCATGCACACACCTCAGGGCGCATACCTCATGTGCACACATCTTGGGGCACACACCTCGTGCACACACCTCAGGGTACACACCTGGTGCACACACCTCATGCACATACCTCATGCACACACCTCAGGGCACACACCTCAGGCGTGCGCACACATGCTGAAAGTGGCAGTCCAGAAGAGGAGAGAGGGAAGCCCTGGAGCCACCCCATGCCGCCCTTAGATTGAACACATGGTGGGTGGTTTTGAGTGCCGCTGTGTGCCAAGTATGTACGCTTCAACTCATTTAATATTCAGGACAACCTTGTGACATGGGTATTGCTTTCCGTGTTTTACAGGTAAGGAAACTGAGGTTCAAAGAGATTGAGTATAATTTTTCCAAGGCCGTACAGCTAGGAAGAGTCAGAGGCAGAATTTGGGCCCAGATTTGTCTGACTTCAAAACTTAACGCCTGTGCATCTCACCACGCTGATGCCAGGACCCAGTGATCCAGAGCAGGAAGAGGGCTAGGGTTTCCCATACTTCCCCCCAACTTTTCCATACGTTTCCAACTGAATAATGTGAGTAGGGGGCTCTGGAACGCCAGCAGGACAAGGGAATTAATATATCTGTGTCTTGGGGATAGTGGTTTGGGGGAGCAGAACACACAGATGCTGGTTAGGGCCCCCAACTTGTACCTGTGCGTGACCTCCCTCAGTCATATTGTAGAATTCCCTGTGAACGAGACTCCCCACCTGCCGTCCATGCCCTCCGGCCTCAGGCTTCTGTCTGTCTCCCCCCACACCTGGTTCAGGTATCCTGCAGCTTCTTCAGTCAAGAACATCACGAAAATTCCTAGCCTGTCGTCTAACCCCAGACATGGAGACTAAGCTCCTCTTCATGACATCCCGGGTGAGTAGGCTGGCCCCCCGCAGTGGGACAGAAGTTGCAGGGCTCATGGGGTGTCTGCCTGCAGTCTGCGGGGTCAGCCTTCCCTGTGCCGCCCTCCCCTGGGCTTCCCTCCCTTGGGCCTCCCTCCCCTGGGCCGCCTTCCCCTGGGCCTCCCTCCCCTGGGCCGCCCTCCCCTGGGCCGCCCTCCCCTGGGCCGCCGTCCCCTGGGCCTCCCTCCCCTGGGCCGCCTCCTCCAGCATCTCCCACCGCTTGTGCTCGTGCTGAGAACTGGGGTACAGCGACTGAGAGAGTCCGCTCCTGCTCGTGTGAAGTTGCCATCTCAGGCAATCTGAAACCAATACTCCTATACAGACAGTATGTGAAATGTGCTTCAGAAGGCAGAAGGGGCAATCGAGAGTGTAGTTTGGGAAACCCAGGGTTCCTCCAGGTGAACAGTGGGTCCTCAGGATGAAAGGCATCACGGCGCTCTGGCCTTTTGGTTTCCAAACATGGCTGAATTAGAGCCGAATTGCTTGGCGAGCATATTGAAATGTAGGTTCTTGGAGTCCTCTTCAGAGAAGCAGATTGTGGGTCTGTATTTTTGACTTCTCAGGTAATCCCTCTCTCTGCAGCCCGTCTGTCATTAGGGGACCCTCCGTGCGAGCCAGCTTGTGGTTTCCGCGGTCATCCTGTGAAGCTGTCTGCGTTTCTGCGGTGCCTCGTGGCGGTCACTAGCCGTGTGTGGCAATTTAAGTTAAAATTAAGTAAAATTAAAAATTGAGTTCCTCAGTCACAGTAGCCGCATTTCAGAGTCACCATCATTGTAGAAAGTTCGATTGGTAGTGTTGGTCTAGCTTGATTGCTTGATTTTAACTTTTCTGCTGTTTGTTTTGGTTGATATCTTTTCACGGATAAGGGAATAGGAAAGAGGAAAACAGGGTCTCCCCCTTATTTAGTGTTGCTGTGTGTAGACATTCAGGGTCTATTTGGGAGAAAGATTTGGCTGCAAGAAAGTTGGAGAGTCTGCACACCTTGGATACCGGTCCTGTTAGGTCACCCAGCACCAGAAAGCGTTTAGTCAGTGCTGAGTCTCAGCGGATAGGCTCGCCTCTTGTTCTTGGGGAACGTCCTCTTGCTGTTCACCAGTGGCTCAGGAAGATAAGAAGAGATCATGCTTATGACTGGAGAATCAGTGACCAGTCCAGGCAGGAGGAGCCAAAAATTGACTGCAGCTGCAGCTGGGGTTAGATGGAACCCCAGGTAGATGGCAAGACTGAGTGCGTTACTGGCAAGTGAGGCAAGCTCGGGAGACTTCCAGCATGTTGTGAATTAACTTGGGAGGTCTTCCTGAAGGAGGGAGACCTGAGAGGCAGTGTGTGTTACTGACTAGATGGCCACAGTCTAGACGAGACCTAGAGCTGAACGGTGCTCGTTTCCCTCCGCTGCGAGCCCCCGGCTCACCCTTCCACGTTTCTCTTTTCTCCCCCTTTCAGGTACGGTTTGGTCAACAAAAGCGATACCAAGATTGGTTCCAGCGCCAGTACCTGTCGACCCCAGACAGTCAGTCTCTGCGCTGTGACCTCATTCGCTACATCTGTGGGGTTGTGCACCCATCTAACGAAGTGCTCAGTTCAGACATCTTGCCTCGATGGGCCATCATTGGCTGGCTCCTGACAACGTGCACAGTAAGGGGCTGGGCCGGGGGGTAGGTGTTGGCTGGTGAAAGGGTGTCTCCTCCATCGCGTCCTCCAGATTCCCAGGCTTCTTCCTGACTCTCAGGAGCCGTCTGACCCCTTAAAGGCCTCCTTTCACTCTGCCCCTCTTGAACGTCTCGCTTCGTGGCCCACCTCCCTTTGTGTCTGTACAAACGTCCTTGTGCTCAGTACTTCCCATCCGGGTGTGGCGTTGAACAGACTCGTCTACGCCTGTACTGCCAGCACAGACGCCTGGATTTCTGGAGCCCCCTCGTCTTTTTCCTTGTGGCTTCCAGACACCACATATGCTTATCCCCTGGACTGATCCTTTATCAGATCCATGGCTTTCGCCATCTGCTCTGGATACTTCCCTTCTCCAAACATAGTGAATCCACAATGGAGCCATTTCCTTCCCAGCCTTTTCCCTGTGCCCTGGCTGGGAAACTATCTTCTCTGCCATCCAGCTGCCCCTTGACCTCTTCTGACATGTTCTTCCTCCTCCCCCACATGACTGGGCCCTGGAAACGTGCTGACTCAGCTGTGACAACAGGCTGGTCCTAAGGGGGGCTCCTCATCAGGATTGTGCCTGGGGAGCCAGTGAGGGGAGCCCAGGGGCTAGTCTGAGTGTTACTTCAGCTCAGGGTGGCCCCAGGACTCCAGAGCCCAGGCATTCCCCCTTAGGGGGTCAGGGGTGTGTTCTGCTGGTGTATGAAGAACCGGGGTTGATCCCTCATCCTGGGCTGCTGAGACCCCGGGGCACTCATGCACGTGTACCACAGACGTGGCTGCCCCTCAGCCTGGGGGGTTCTACTCTCTTTCGCTAGGAACTGCCTTGGGCCTGTGAAGGGAAGGGGGCTGGTCGATGGGACTAGCCCTCTTCTTTCCCCCTCTCTTCCAGTCAAATGTCGCTGCCTCTAACGCCAAGCTGGCTTTGTTTTACGATTGGCTGTTCTTTAGCCCCGACAAGGACAGCATCATGAACATAGGTACGTGACCGTGACCAGGCAGCGCCACCTCCCCGGCCCCCAGGCCCTGCCGCCTCGCGGTAGTGGTGGCAGCGCGGAGGGAGGCAGCTTATCTGGGAGCAGTTCTGTTCCTCGTTGGCTCTCCCCGACCTAGAAGGAGAAGTGCTCTGATGAGGCCAGGCAGTCACGCCACCCTCTCCCCACAGCCTTGTGCTGGGGCTTTGGGTGGGGAGGGCCTCTTCCTCCTCTCCTGCCCCACTCCTCCAAGCTGAGCACTGGGGTGAGAAGGGGCGTTGGGGGCTGGCAGAGCTGTTATGGGGCTGTCTCCCCTTGCGTCTGTTCAGTGGAGTGGGGAGAGAGCACTCGCCAGAGCCCCTCGTGTATATCCATAGCCCATTTTGTGGAGATGGGAATGGACTGTCTGATGTAGGGGGGCCCTTTAATTCTGCATTCTCCAGAGCCAGCCATCCTGGTCATGCATCACTCCATGAAGCCCCACCCAGCCATCACTGCCACACTCCTGGACTTTATGTGCCGAGTAAGTGCCAAGGCCCTCTTTTCTCCACACTCCTGGATGAGCACAGCTAAGTGTATCTCCCATCTGACCTTACCTCCCAGTGAGTGGTTCTTCCCAGCACCCTTTGATGGTGGGAGCAGAAATGGTGATGGGTCCTGTCCCCCGAGTTGGTGAGCACTTCCTTTCCTGTCCCCTTGGTCCCCAGTTAGATTGTTCCGTGGAGTTTGTCAGCCTCAGGGATGATGACTGAAGGTAGTCCCTTGAGGAGCCGCCCAGGCCAGTGGCCTGGAGCAGTCAGGAGCACCCCAGTCTTCTGCAGCCGTGCTCCCCAGCAGCCCCTGGGTCAAGACTGAAGTGGCTTTTAGGTCTAGTTCAGAAGAACACTCTGGACAGAGATTCTATGCTCATTGTCTCCTCCTTCCTTCCAGATCATTCCTAACTTCTATCCGCCACTGGAGGGCCACGTGAGGCAGGGTGTCTTCTCCTCCCTCAACCACATTGTGGAGAAACGCGTCTTGGCGTAAGAAGTTGATGCGTGTGGGGGCAGGGGGAGGGGGTGTTGTTTTCCCAGTTTTCAGTAGGTCCAGCCACCTGTAGGCCAGGCATGTCCAGATGCTGCCACGCCCCTGCTGACCGTCTCTCTTGAGAGGTGTAGCAAGTGCAGGCTGCCCGTCAGACTGCTGAGTGTGTGTCCACCTGACTCTTAAAGGCATCCGCTCTTGCCATAGTCTCTGCAAGGGCTTCAGATGCCTTTCCTGGGCCCATCCTCTCTCCTCCATTCTGGCTGGGCCTAGATCTTTCTGTGTAGCTGCGTGTTGCGTGCGGAGTGAGGCCCTCTGACGCTGACTCTCGTCCGTGTTTCTCACTAGGCATTTAGCTCCTCTGTTTGATAACCCTAAATTGGATAAGGAGCTGCGGGCCATGCTGAGGGAGAAGTTTCCCGAGTTCTGCAGTTCGCCCTCCCCACCTGTGGAAGGTATGGAGGTATCAACCTGCTCCAGGAGCCAGGAATGGTGGCACCCGGGCTCCAGACCAGAGCTCCCGTCAGGATTGTCCCCATGCGTGTCTCCATGTCTGTGACACTGCTCACCTCAGCGGTGGCTTCCCCAGCTTCTTCTCATTCCCCTTTGTGCCGTCTGTCTTGGTTCTCCCCCACCGTCTCATCTTCCCTGCCTTTCTGCTTGTCTGTCCTGCTCTCTTTCCTCTTCCTCCTAAGAACCTCCTCTCCGGCGGTGGAAGCCTTCCGTGGAATGTGTGCCTTCCCATCTCCACTTTGCCCTTTTTGTCTCTCTTCTCAGCACTGGGTCCCGGCCCCAGATGAGAGGTGGTCATGTTGGGTCTCAAGTCTTGCTCCCAATTCCAGACTGCCACCCTCTCACCCTACTCCCACCACACATACTTTTTTGTTTTTGGGTGAGGGCTTAAGCCAAGCAAAGATCCCCAACTTGGTTTTAAATTAAAGAGTTCTTTGGGACCGTCCCTGGTCTTACTCAGTAACCCTGAGCTGAGCCTAGAGGAGCCGTGTCCTGTCTGTTCTCATCCCTGGCAAAGCCCCCCTGCAGACCTGGAGGCTGTCTGTCCTTCCCAGGGCAGTATTCCAGTTAGATCAGTGAACTCTTTATTCTCCACTTGACCTCCAGTCTCCCCTCCCCAGAAACCTGGGGAGGGTTGGAGGGCACAGGAGACCTTCAGGTACCTTGTCTGTCTTCACTCCCAAGTTAAAATTGAGGAGCCAGTTTCCATGGAGATGGACAACCACATGTCAGACAAGGACGAGAGTTGCTACGACCATGCAGAGGCGGCCTTCAGTGATGACGAGGAGGAGCTCAACAGCAAAGGTGAGGCCGGCCGCAAAGAGGCTGCTCAGGGCTGGGTCCCCCTGCGGAGGACCAGGCCCCGGGAGCAGCCCCCCGCCGTCTCTCCGTCACCTTGGCCCTGTGAGTTCCCGCGTGGTTAGCAGGCTCACTGGCGGAGCCTCTGGAAGACATGGATCCTGCCCCTCTGTTCCTCAGAGCTGGGCCATGTGCACCTTCAGGGAAATGCTCCAGGTGCTCGCGCAGCACCGAGCAGACAGGCGCACACGGGGCGTGTGAGGAAGGGAGGGTCTGTTCAGGGGGACTTTCTCTGTGGCTGGTGTCTGGGTGAACCCACTTTGCCCCTTAATGACTCCCTGCAGGAAAGAAGAGAGAGTTTCGCTTCCACCCGATCAAGGAGACGGTCGTGGAGGAGCCCGTTGACATCACCCCGTACCTGGACCAGCTGGATGAGTGTCTGCGAGACAAAGTGCTCCAGCTGCAGAAGGGGAGGTGGGTGCAGACCCTGTTCTCCACCCCGAGGCCCAGCACCAGCCTGTCTCCCTGGCGCTAGGGGGCTTAGCAGGCTGCTGGGGGCTGGAGGGAAATGGGGTGAAGGGGGGCGGTGTACGGAATGGTAGTTGAAGTTAACCTGGAAGACGTCTTCTGCAGTTCAGGCTAGGGCAGCGTGGGCTGGGAGCGGGAGGGCCGAGTTGCCCAACACCCTGGGTTCTCACTCCATAGATTCCTAGGAGAAGAGCCTCTGAGAGCTGAAGCAGGGTGGACGGGGATTCCCCCTCTCTTTGGGCCTCTACCCAGACAGCAGCAGATTCGGTCCTAGAGGTGCCCCCCACCCCCTGGCCGGATTTCACACAGAGCTCCATTGTGCTGGCCCTGCGTGTGTGAGTGTGCTCGTGCACGCTGTTCTGGGGGTGTGGCCTGCCCTCTGCTATCACTTACGTCCCTGGGATTTCCTCTCACTTGTGTACTGCAGTGATACGGAGGCCCAGTGTGAGGTCATGCAGGAAATCGTGGACCAGGTCCTGGAGGTGAGGAGGAACCCAGTCCCTTAGGGAGGAAAGAGCCCAGCCTGCCCAGCTGAGAGCTCCCCATGCAGATGGCTCCCAGAGAGGCCGACGCCCTGCCTCCCCTCCCCAGATGGGTCCCTTCTGATGGGTGGGAGAGCTTGCCGATTCTGGAGGGGAAGCAGATGAGCGGAGAGGCTCTGGGTGGTGGGCCAGTAAGGCTTGGGTCTAAGTGCTGGTCCCCCTCCCTGTCTCACACCCAGGAAGACTTTGACTCGGAGCAGCTGTCTGTCCTTGCCTCCTGCCTGCAGGAGCTCTTCAAGGCCCACTTCCGAGGGGAGGTGCTGCCTGAGGAGATCACAGAAGAGTAAGGCTCACCTTTCTGGCCCCTAGGGCCTCATAGAATACGCAGAAGTATGTGTTTGCCGCCTGATTAAGTCCTGCTGTAGACTTAAGGAAAGTAATCTGTTCAGCTGGTGTTTTTATTCTCACGTGTTGATTCACGTAACAAGGATTTATTATTGCCTGAGGCACACCGTGCTTACAGGAATGGTGGCTACTGTCCCCTCCGTGTGCTCCCAGCCCCAGCTGCCAGGCCCAGTGGCCTCAGCCTTTGATGCTTCAGGTGGGATTGGATCCTGGCCTGGACTCTCTCCCTGAAGGGCAGGGTTCTCACCTTCAATCATGATGACAGCCTCGGAGTGTGGTTCCGTGTTTCCTCTGTTACCAAGTGTCCTGGGCAGCAGGAAGCTTTGGTTAGGAAAGGAGCAGCTGATCTCCATATGCCTGCCTCACATGCCCCTGATAGAGAACCCTCCTCTTGTAGGTCCCTGGAGGAATCTGTGGGGAAGCCTCTCTACCTAATATTTAGGTAAGTGTCCAGCTGGGGGAAATCCTGCTCCGCCATTCACCTCACCAACAGCACACGTGTGCTCTTGTCATGGGGCAGGAGGAGGGCAGTGAGCACTGGGCACAGAGCCCATGCCACCCCCGAGGCTCCCTGGGAGTCTCCTGGTACAGCTCTGCTCCTTCCCTGCCGCCGGCTGCCTCCAGGAACCTGTGCCAGATGCAGGAGGACAACAGCAGCTTCTCCCTGCTTCTGGACCTTCTCTCCGAGTTGTATCAGAAGCAGCCCAAGATCGGCTACCACCTGCTGTACTACCTGAGGGCCAGGTGGGTATGCTCCCAGGTGTAAGAAGGCGTCAGGAAGCGGCCTGGAGAGCCTGTCTCCTGCCGCGCCCTGACCCTCCCACCGCTGGCTGTTACACCAGGGCTTCTGTGTGTTTTCTTTCTGTTTCTTAGATAATAGCTTTACTGAGACATGACTCACCCTTTTCAAGTATGAAATGCCATGGTTTTTAGTGTATTCGGAAAGGTGTACAACTGTCACCACTCCCTAAAGAGGACGTTTGCAACACCCCAAAAAGAAACCCTATACCCACTGGCAGTCACCCTCCATTTCCTCTTCCACTCAGCCCTAGGCAGCCGGTAATCTACTTTCTGTCCGTATGGATTTACCTCTTCTGGACATTTCGTAGGACTGGGATCACGCAATGCGTGATCGTCTGTGACTGGCTGCTTTTGCCTTGCGTGCCGTTCTCAAGGTTCATCCACGATCTGGCACGTGTCAGTGCTTCGTTCCCGTTTTTACAGCCGAACAACATCGCACTGGGTGGCTGTATCCCGTGGTTTACCCAGTCATCAGCTGGCGGGCGTTCGGATTGTTCCCACTTTTTGGCTGTTGTGAATAACGCTGCTATGAACGTTCATGTACAGGTTTTTGTGTGGACCCATGTTTTCAGTTTTCTTGGGCATATACCTAGGAATGGAATTGCTGGCCACATGGTAATGCCGTGTGTAGCTTTGTGAGGAACCACCAAACTGTTTCCAAGCAGCTGCAGCCATTTTACATCCCCACCAGCAATGTACGAGCTTACGTTTCTCCACGTTCTCACCAGCGCTTGTTATTTTCTTTTGTTTTAAATTGTACTTTAGATGAAGGTTTACGGAGCAAACTAGTTTCTCATTAAACAAATACACATATTGTTTTATGACATTGGTTGCCAACCCCATGACATGGCAACACTCTCCCCTGCTCAACCTTGGGTCCCCCATTACCAGCTTTCCTGTCCCCTCCTGCCTTCTTGTCCTTGCCCCTGGGTTAGTCTGCTCCTTTAGTCTCGTTTTGTTTTATGGGCCTGTCTAATCTTTGGCTGAAGGGTGAACCTCAGGAGTGACTTCAGTACTGAGTTAAAAGGGTGTCCAGGGGCCGTACTTTTTCGGGGTTTCTCCAGTCTCTGTCAGACCAGCAAGTCTGGTCTTTTTTTGTGAGTTAGGATTTTGTTCTACATTTTTCTCCAGCTCTGTCCGGGACCCTCTATTGAGATCCCTGTCAGAGCAGTCAGTGGTGGTAGCCGGGCACCATCTAGTTGTGCTGGACTCAGTGTGTGGAGGCTGTGGTAGTTGTGGTCCATTAGTCCTCTGGACTCATCTTTCCCTTGTGTCTTTGGTTTTTTTCATTCTCCCTTGCTCCAGATGGGGTGGGACCTGTGAAGTATTTTAGATGGCTGTTCACAGGCTTTTAAGACCCCAGACGCTATTCACCAAAGTGGAATGTAGAACATTTTCTTCATAAACTGTTACGCCAGTTGAGCTAGACGTCCCCCGAGATACTTTCTGTCTTTTTTAATCTAGTCAGTCCTGATGTGTGTTAAGTGGTATCTCACTGTGGTTTTGATCTGTGTTTCTCTGATGGCTACTGATGGTGAGCACCTTTTCATGCATGTATGGGCCATTTGTAGATCCTCTTTGGAGAAGTGTCTATTCAAATCCTTTCCCATTTTTTAATTGGCTTATTTGTCTTATTGTTGAGGTGTTTGGTTTTTTTTATTGTTGTGCTTTAAGTGAAAGTTTACATTTCAAGTTTCTCATACAAAAATTTATACCTACATTGTTATGTGACCCTAATTGCTCTCCCAATACTTTGACAGCACACTCCTCCCCCCGACCCCGCCAGATTTCCCGTGTCCATTCAACCAGCTCCTTACCCTCTCTGTCTTCTCATCTCACCTCCGGACACAAGCTGCCCATTTAGTCTCATATATTTACTTGAGCTACGAAACACACTCTTCACGAGTATCATGTTATGTCCTACAGTCCAGTCTAATCTTTGTCTGAAGAGTTGGCCTCAGGAATGGTTTTAGTTTTGGGCTAACAGAGAGTCTGGGGGCCATGTCTTCCAGGGTCCCTCCAGTCTCAGTCAAACCATTAAGTCTGGTCTTTTTCCTAGAATTTGAGTTCTGTGCCTCACTTTTCTCCTGCGCCATCAGGGACTCTCTGTTGTGTTCCCTGTCAGGGCAGTCATTGGTGGTAGCCGGGCACCATCTAGTTCTTTTGGTCTCAGGCTGATGGAATCTCTGGTTTATGTGGCCCTTTCTGTTTCTTGGCCTAATACTTTCCTTGTGTCTTTGATGTTCTTCATTCTCCTTTGCTCCAGGTGGGTTGGGACCAATTGATGCATCTTAGATGGCTGCTCACTAGCTTTTAAGATCTCAGACGCCACTCACCAAAGTGGGATACAGAACATTTTCTTAATAAACTTTATTATGCCAATTGACTTAGATGTCCGCTGAATTACTGTTGACTTTTAAGATTTCTTTATATATTCTGGACGTAAGTCTGTTACCAAGTGCATGATTTGCAAAAGTTTTCTCCCATTCTGTGGGATGTCTTTTTACTTCCTTGCTGGTGTCCTTTGAAACACAAAAGCTTTTAATTTTGATGAGGTCCAGTTTATCAGTTTTTTTTTTTTTGTCAGTTGTCCTTTTGATATCGTATCTAAGAAACCATTGTCTAACCCACGGTCATGAAAATTCACTCCTGTGTTTACTTCTAAGAGCTTTATAGTTTTAGTTCGTACATTTAGGTCTCTAATCCATCTTAAGTTTTGTATACGGTGTGAGGTAGGGGTCTCCGCGTGTTATCGCCCTCATGGCTCAGAGCCCAGAAAGCAGGAGAATGTGGGGGAGAGAAAGCTGTTTTCTCTAGCCTGACCTGGGTCCTCCCTCTCTTCTTGAGAAGTTGTCGAGCCCTTGGGGAAGGCAGAGGAGGGACGTGACACAGATTAGCACAGGGCATCTAGGGCAGCTAAAGGGATTCCAGAGTGGGAGCACTAAGCCAAGGCCTGCTTAGGGGGTGTTTAGTGCTGGGTCCTGGGGCTCGGGTGCTGAGACTCACCTGGTCTTACAGCAAAGCTGCTGCAGGGAAGATGAACCTGTACGAGTCATTTGCCCAGGCCACCCAGCTGGGCGACCTGCACACCTGCTTGATGATGGACATGAAGGCCTGCCAGGAAGACGATGTGCGGCTGCTGTGCCACCTGACGCCGTCCATCTACACAGAGGTCAGCGCCTCCCTCCACATCCACGCTGGGGAAATGGGGGCGGTGGAGCAGGAAGGGGCTCGCAGAAAGTTATCCCGTCTTCTGAGCTGCGCACACAGCCCTCACCCCCTTCTGTACCCGCCCCGCTGACCTTGGTGGGCCCTCCTCCCACACGGCAGCTATGGTCTCCTTCCACCACTCTTGACTGAGGGTTGACAGTTTTCCGCAGCCCCCAGAATGCCTGTCCTTTGTTTGGCGTGTCCGGCTCCTTGTCTAGAATCAGCCCATGGTGTGAGTCGGGGTCTGGGACCGTTCACTTGATTTCTCAGCATTGGCCCCATCATCTGGGCCCAGGGTAGGTCCCCCAAACCAGATCCATGTTCACATACTGCAAGCCTCCTGCCCTCTGACGGGCCACCCTAGGGTTATCTCAAGACAATTCTCAGAAACCAAGGCCCCTAGTGGAGGCTCAGCTCCCACTTCCCTGTTACTCAGTCTTCTCTAAGAATTGGGGCATAGAAGGGGTACCAGCTGTTCCTCCTGTTGGTGAAAGTTCCCGGGAAGTGGGAAATCAGAGCACAGGCCGTGGGCACGACAAGAGGAACTGTGATCTCCACCAGGAACCGGGGAGGGATCCAGATGCTAGATGGATGGCAGTTTCTTCCGCCCACTCCCTGCTGGTGAGCTGGCCTCTCCCGAGGGGTCCTGCCTACCTCACGCGCCCCTCCACATACACACACACTCCACCTTCTCTTCCCTGGCTAGGGGGCCAGTACAGATCGGATTTCTCTGCTGCCAGGGACACAAACGTTTATTCTGCGTCCCTGGCAGCAAAGAACTCACAATCATGTGCAGTCCCTTTCAGCCCTGGCTTTATCTCTAGATCACTCCCCATTGCTTTCTGCACACACCCCCTCAAGGTATGCGCACGTGCACACACACACCCTCAAGGTATGCACACACACACACCCTCAAGGTACGCGCGTGCACACACACACACACCCTCAAGGTATGCGCACGCGCACACACACACCCTCAAGGTATGCACACACACACACCCTCAAGGTACGCGCGTGCGCACACACACACCCTCAAGGTATGCGCGCCCACACACACACACACCCTCAAGGTATGCACACACACACCCTCAAGGTATGCGCGCCCCCACACACACACACCCTCAAGGTATGCACGCACACGCACACACCCTCAAGGTATGCGCACACACACACACACATACACACCCTCAAGGTATGCGCACACACACACACCCTCAAGGTCTGTGCACACACGCACACCCTCAAGGTATGCACGCGCGCACACACCCTCAAGGTATGCACACACACACACACACACCCCCTCACTCTCAAGGTATGCGTGCGCACACGCACACTCTCAAGGTATGCGCGCACACACGCACCCTCAAGGTATGCGCGCGCACACGCACCCTCAAGGTATGCGCGCGCACACGCACCCTCAAGGTATGCGCACGCACACACCCACACACCCACACACCCTCAAGGTATGCGCGCGCCGTGCACACACACACACTCAAGGTATGGACACACACACACCCTCAAGGTATGCGCACGCACACACCCACACACCCTCAAGGTATGGACACACATCCTCAAGGTATGCACACACAAATAACACTTGGTGTCTTCGAGGGGTGGATTCTCAGCTTCACAGCTGTTGGATGTTTACGGATTTATATCAGGACCCTGTGTTTGATAGATCTGAGCAGGTGATAAAGAAGGGGAGTAGCTTGTGAGGTGAAACCGGGGTCCACCCTGGACTCCTGCCCTAGCGCCCCCACTCCTGTTTCTACCCAGTTTCCAGACGAGACCTTGAGGAGCGGGGAGCTGCTGAACATGATCGTGGCTGTGATCGACTCTGCACAGGTGAGCATAGAACTCACCACCCCGGGGAGGCCTGGTCGAATGGGAAAACCAGGGCCCTGCTGCCTGCAGGTCTGCAGATGCCGCAGACACTCTGCCTCCAGGCCAGAGTTGCTCCTTTACCAGCTGTTTACCCTCGGAGAGCCCGGTGCCCGCCGCGTGCCGTCTCCTCTCTGTCCTCTGCACCAGGCTTTTCACTTCCTATGGGTTTTCCCCACCGAGCCCCCCCGCCCCCCCCTCCTTCCAGCTTCCTGGCCTCTGTTAGAACTAAGGGGTTCTGCCTTCCGCCTCCTCCCCCTCCTCAGCTCCAGGAGCTCGTCTGCCATGTGATGATGGGAAACCTGGTCATGTTCCGCAAAGACTCAGTCCTCAACATACTCAGTGAGTGACAGACCTGCCGGCTTCCCTGGGACCAGGAGAGCTGGGCTGAGGTGTTAGGGGTGGACATGCTCCCCCCTGCTCCTGGGCCATGTCTCTCTGGGGCTGTTTACTGCTCCATGAAGTGGAAAGGCTTACCGTGGGCCTCCAGCCTCGGGGTGGGTGAGGGCCTTGGCAATAAGCTGTGTGTGGACAGGCAGAGGATCCGTAGTTTTAGGGTCGCTGTCCCCACCCCGTCCCATCCTGGCTTGGGGTGCTGGTAGTCGTGGGTGTGTGTGACACAGACACAGACAGACACACATGTTCCTTCTGTGCCCCTTCAGTTCAGAGCCTGGACTGGGAGACCTTTGAGCAATACTGTGCCTGGCAGCTCTTCCTGGCCCACAACATCCCGTTGGAGACCATAATCCCCATCCTGCAGCACCTCAAGTACAAGGGTGAGTGGGTCTGGGCCGGGAGCAGGGGGAGGCTGGGCAAGGCCACAGCCCCAAGGCTTCTAGAGGCACCCCGGTCCACTGTTCCCCTTCCTGCCCAGTGCCCCAGGGCGGGCCCCGTGAGCCGGCTAGGGGTGCAGGGATTTTGCAGGAGTGGGGTCCGGGATCCTGGCTCCTCAGGGAACATGTCCTTCTTTCTCCTGCCAGCAGCTGTCAGTCGGGGGATGGGAGAGGGGCCCAGATTCCTTCCCAGAATCATGCCCCCACCCTGAGCAGCCTCTGCCCTTCCCCACAGAGCACCCTGAGGCCCTGTCCTGCCTCCTGCTTCAGCTCCGCAGAGAGAAGTGAGTGCCAGCCCTGGGGGCCCTCGCCCTCAATCCCAGCACCCCGAGGGCTGCTCCCCTCGCCGGCTTTCTTCCTGTCCTCGCCATCTGCTTGTTCTGCCCTTCCCTTAAGTGACTGACAGATAAGCGGCTCCCCTGGGACCTGGGCTTCCTCTGACTCTCCCCTGCCCATCAGGAGCTGCCCTCGGAGGTGGGGGCCGGACGTCCCTGTTTCCTGCTGCCATGGCAGCTCTGATGGCTTCTGTCCCTCCCCCACGCCCCTGCACCCGCACAGGCAGGGCCAAAGCAAGGGGAGCGCACACCGTCCCCTGGACCTGCGCAGGGCAGAGCGCCAGCTGGAGCCCTGTGCTCCCTCCGAGGGCTGGTCCAGGGGGCAGAGGGCAGAAAGCCCTTCTTCCCTCACAGGCACTTGGCCAGCACACCCCAGAGAAATGGGCAGCGCTGCGCATTTTTTCCTTCCTGTCTTTCCTTCCACCTTTTCTCCTCTCCTCTCACCCAAGAGACCTGAAATGGTACAGAGTGTCCTAGAGGAAGTGGGAAGGTGGGGGGCCGTGCGGGGGCTTCACCCCTCTCCCCTGCCCCTTCCTCGGGCCGGAGGCCAGCTTGGCCCACAGCAGGGGCGGGGGGCACACACACATCATCTGCTTGTCCTTTTGTGTCGCTGGCCCCGTTTCTGACTGTCCTGGGGTGGGGCGGGGCAGGGAAGCCTGGTGGGCCACCTCCTAGTGCACACACACACTGCACGCACACTCTCCACGCGCACGCACACCCACAGCCCCATGAACACCGCTCACGCACACGCACACCGCGCACACGCACCCATAGGCACACTGCGCACACGCACAAACACCACGCACGCACGCCGTCTGCTGCCACGAAGACTGAAGAGTCTCACTTCTGGTCTCCCGGCTGCCCCCGAGGATGCCGCCCAGCCCCCCGCAGCCCAGGGGGAAGGGGGAGAGGGATGTGAGAGGAGGAAGCTGCAGGGGTGGGGTGGGGTGGGGGCCTGGGGTTTGGGAAACGCACACGCGCCATGCGCCCCTGGCCCGCCCACCGCAGGCCCAGCGAGGAGATGGTGAAGATGGTGCTGAGCCGGCCCTGCCACCCCGACGACCAGTTCACCACCAGCATCCTGCGGCACTGGTGCATGAAGCACGACGAGCTCCTGGCTGAGCACATCAAGTCCTTGCTCATCAAGAACAACAGTCTCCCCCGCAAGAGGCAGAGGTGCCGTGCTCCCCGGGGAGACCCTGCAGGCAGGCTGCCGGGCGCCTCTGCCCGTCACAGGCAACCCGCCCGCAAAGGCAGTTGGGCCAGTGCTGCGCAGCCTGGTCTGTGGGCGACATCTAGTGGTCTGGCGTGTGCAGGACCCCTCTAGTCCCTTCTCTTTCCCCAGAGCTCAGGTGGCCAGGGTCCCGCCTCCTAGGCACATCTCCCATACCTTACCCCACCTCCCTGCCTAGACTGGGCTGCTTTGGTCTTAGGAAGGAACTGGGGTGAGGTCTCAGGCTCCTGGAGCCTCACTTCATGCCCCCATCCGGCCTCTGGCCCCCCATGCAGCCTGAGGAGCTCCAGCAGCAAGCTGGCCCAGCTGACCTTGGAGCAGATCCTGGAGCACCTGGACAGCCTGCGCCTCAACCTGACCAACACCAAGCAGAACTGTACGCCTCCCCGCCCTCCCTGAGCCGGGCTGTGGGCTGCAAACCCGCTTAGGGAACACAGCCTTGGGTGCTGTGCATAGCCCCCAGACATGTCATCGCTCTCTCTTGCCCGCCCGCCCACCCTCTCCCTCCAGTTTTCAGCCAGACGCCCATTCTCCAGGCTCTGCAGCACGTCCAGGCCAGCTGTGACGAAGCCCACAAGATGAAGTGAGGCGCCCTGCCCCCTTGGCCCGGGGGGTGGTGGGGAGGGGGCTGCTGGGGAGACAGGGATTGAGTGGCCAGCAAGACACTGGGGTGAAGAGAAAGAGAGACCCAGGTCTGGGCTCAGAGAGAAGGGTGGTAGGGCAGACCTAGTACCAGGTGCCCCGACTCAGAGGGTTCTTTCTTCTTCCCTCAGGTTCAGTGACCTCTTCTCCCTGGCTGAGGAATACGAGGACTCTTCCACCAAGCCACCCAAGAGCCGGCGAAAAGCAGCTCTGTCCAGCCCGCGAAGTCGAAAGAATGCCGCCCAGCCCCCCAATGCCGAGGAGGAGTCGGGTTCCAGCAGCGCCTCGGTGCGGCCCTCTGCTGGAGCCTGGGAGGGGACGGACGCCAGGGCAGGTGGGGCTGAGGCCAGCTGCTGCCCACGCAGTCATTTCCCCTCCTTTCTCCCGGTCTCCAGGAGGAAGAAGACACGAAACCAAAGCCCACCAAGCGGAAACGGAAGGGGTCCTCTGCCGTGGGGTCTGACAGTGACTGAGCCTGTGGTCCCGTCCGCCCCCAGTCGGACTGCCCTCCCCTCATTGGTGAATCAAGGTTAATAGGGACTGGGGAGGTGGGAGGGGACATACCCTCTCCCCAGCCCAGAGCTCGCCCAGTGGGGAGCATAAACCTTCTCCCAAACCCAGCTTGAGAAGCTGCCGTGCAGCCCCTCACCCCCACTCCTGCCTTTCCTGGGGTGTCTCTCCCACCCAATATTGGAGCTCCCTCTAAGGCCAGAGGCTATACGAAACTGAAGCTGAGTGCTGTGGAGGCCCCCGCCCTCCGCCCCTACCCTCAGCTGTTTGAGCAGCTGGCCAGAGAAGCTGGGATGAGAGCAGAGACTCTGTGAGGGCGCCCCTTCCCACTTCCCTCTTCAGGCCTAGATTTGCTCTCAGCAGACATTTTATAGTCACTCTGCAGACACCAGTGTGAAATGGGCATCCAAGCTGTTACATGGCCAGGCTGCCCACGTCTCACCGTGGGCCATGGGCCAGAGCGCTCAGGAAGGAACCTGGGAGGGTGCCCTGCAGGCTTGGGTCGGCAGGGGCTGGCACCTCCAGCTGGGCCAGAGTGCCGGGGAGGCCCAGAGGCAAGTTCCACAGAACTGTCGAAAGATGCCATTTCCTTGTTGTTGTTGTTTTTTTCTGCCAGAGATATTAGCGTTTTTAAGGTTGTTTTTAAATGACAATAAAACAAGCCAGAACCTCATGTTTGAGTCCCCGTGTCACTGGTAACTGTTTGTGGCCTCCTTTCCTGCCCTGCCCCGCTTCTTGTCTGGAGCAGGAGGTTCTGGCTTTACGCCCCATCCTTGCTGCCACCACTGGCGGCGCGGGCGACCATAACCTGCCTGTGCAGAAAGGGGTGCCAGCACCCTCTCCCGAAGGCCCTGATCCTTTTCTCCTCAAGAGACTAGAGGGAGGCTTCTCACAAGGGAACATCTGCCCTAGCTGCGCTAACTTCCTGTCTGTCGGGGGTTAGACTACTGGCTTGGAGGGGAGGCTGGTGGTCAGAACTTGGGGCTGGAAGGACAGAAGTGTGCCTGGTGAGCGACACCAGGGTGGAGGAGCCTGTTCCTTCACCAGGCTGGCTGTCCACGTGGACTGGGAGGAGGGAGCTGGTCCACATGGATCTGGAAGAAGGAGCTGGTCCACGTGGACCGGGAGGAGGGAGCTGGTCCACGTGGATCTGGAAGGAGCCAGGCCTTGGCTGTGCTGGTCCCCTGCTCTGGGTGACTGGGAGGCCGGCTGAGGGGAGAGGGGTGTGAAGACGGCCACCGGCAGACGGTGGAACCCAGGTTCTCCTTCCCTCAAAGCTGCTGCTCCCTCCTTTGAAAACCTAAACCGCCGAGGCCGCCTCTTTTTTCTTCCTCTCTCCTTCCCCCGTTTCTTCTGCCCCAATTAAAACCAGGATGGAAAGCATTCGCTGGCTGGCCCCGGTTATTGTACCCTTGCCCAAAGGGAGGGGCCTCCGCCGCGGCCCCTCCCGAACTCTGGCGGTCTGGGCCTCCACCTATCCCGCGCGCGGGGCTGCTGCTGGGGCGCACGGGGGGAGGGCACGGGGCTGGCCACCGTGTGGGGGCTCACAGCCCCCTGCGGACCGAGGGCCGAGTTCCTCAGTCTGTCGTGGGAGAGAGCAGTGGTATTCCCCCCTTCACGGGTGAAAATGGAAAGACGAGAGACGGACTGCGATCCAAACGCCCTGGCTCTGACCAGGACGCCAAAGTTCGGCCCGATGCCTGAGGCGGCTCAAGCGGGAAAGAACCTGAAAAGCAGGGACTTGACCCCAGACGGAGAGAAGGTGGGGCGTAGGTCGTGGGGTGGGCGGGGAGCCGGGAGCCGCCCCCAACACACTCCTCCCGGGCCTTTTGCTCTCCGCCCCGTGGGGACTGGGGGTGGGGGCCCGGGGTGGGAAGGGGCGTGTGCCAGCGCACGCGCGCTCCCGGGAAGAAGAGGTCTAAGAGCAAGAACGAGCGGCCCCGGGTTTCCGGGAGAAAATATCTGGGGTGTCTGCGAGAGGCTGGAGGCGGACGGTGCCGAGTCGAGGGCACCATGGCCGCTCTCCTCCTGCTGCCCCTGCTTCTCTTGCTGCCGCTGCTCCTGCTGAAGCTGCACCTCTGGCCGCAGCTGCGCTGGCTCGCGGGAGATGTGGCCTTCACCGTGCGCGCCCTACGGTGCAAACGGGCTCTTCGAGCTCGCGCCCTGGCCGCGGCTGCCGCCGACCCGAAAAGCCCCGAGGGCGGCTGCAGCCTGGCTGGGCGTCTCGCGCAGCTGGCCCGGGAGCGCCCCGCGCACACCTTTCTCATTCACGGCGCGCGGCGCTTCAGTTACGCCGAGGCGGAGCGTGAGAGTAACCGGGCTGCACGCGCCTTCCTGCGCGCGTGGGGCTGGGACGAGGGACCCGGGGGCGGCGGCGGCGCAGAGACCGCCGGGGAAGGCGGGCGGGCGGCGCCGGGAGCAGGAGGCACGGCCGGAAGCCGAGCGGCGCTGGCCGGGTGTGAAGGGGATGGGACACCCAAAGTTGGAGGAGCCGCGGCCCCTCTGGAGCCCGGGGCGACCGTGGCGCTGCTCCTCCCCGCCAGCCCGGAGTTCCTGTGGCTCTGGTTCGGTCTGGCCAAGGCCGGCCTGCGCACCGCCTTTGTGCCCACCGCCCTGCGCCGGGGCCCCCTCCTGCATTGCCTCCGCAGCTGCGGCGCGCGCGCGCTGGTGCTGGCGCCAGGTAAGGCTGTCGCAGGCGACTAACTGGGGTGGGGCCGGTCACCGAAAGGGGCGTGTCTGGGGGGGCTCACGGACGGGGCCAGAAGGAGGAGGAACTATCTCCTTGGGGTCCAGGAACGGGATTCTAGGTTTGCGAAGGGATGAGGCTGGGTCTGTGGTTCCTCCCAAGGATTCCTAAGGAGTGAGGTTCAGGTTTCAGATCCGGGAAGAGATGGCCGCACATTTCCCCCTCGTCTAAGAGGAGTGCCGGGAAATGGGTTAAGGGGTAGGGAAAGCTTCTGGGTAGTGGCAGAGCCGCGGAGCTGTGTTTCCCACCCGATGCAGAGCTCTTGGAGTCCCTGGAACCTGACCTACCGGTCCTCAGAGCCATGGGGCTCCGCCTGTGGGCCGCAGGCCCGGTACCACCGCCTGCTGGAATCAGCGATCTGCTGGCTGCGGCCTCGGCTGAAGGGGATGGGCCGGTGCCCGGGTACCTGTCGGCCCCCGAGAACATAATGGACACGTGCCTGTACATCTTCACCTCTGGCACCACGGGTGAGGGCTGGACACTCCTGTGTTTACTTCCCAGAAACTCAGGCAGAGAAAGACAAGGATGTATGACTTAAGCTGCCAGGCCACCCCTCCGAAACCCCCGGGGAGGATGCTGATCCCAGCGGCCACATCCTCCCTCTGGCCAACCCTGTCACCTTCTCCACCTCCCCCTGAGTGCCCACGTTTCCAGGACAGCCTGCTTCGCTTGTTCTCAGCTTCTGGGGGAAACGGAGCAGGCAGCAGAGATGGAGGTGGGGCCTGGGGCTTAGACCCTCCCTACCTCCCCTACTGCCATCCCACAGGCCTCCCCAAGGCTGCTCGCATCAGTCACATGAAGATTCTTCAGTGCCAGGGCTTCTACCAGCTGTGCGGTGTCCACCAGGACGATGTGATCTACCTGGCGCTCCCGCTCTACCACATGTCCGGCTCCCTGCTGGGCATCGTGGGCTGCCTGGGCATTGGTCAGTCTCCTTATCCCACCACACGCCCATGCATTCCTCCAGCAAACGTTTATTCCAGCAAACATTTATTAAGTGCCTACTATGTGCTTACCGACAAACCCTGGTGGCATAGCGGTTAAGTGCTATGGCTGCTAACCAAAAGGCTGGCGGTTCGAATCCACCAGGCATTCCTTGGAAACCCTATGGGGCAGTTCTACCCTGCCCTGTAGGGTCGCCATGAGTGGAAATTGACTCGATGGCAGCAGGTTTGGGTTTTGGATTTATGTGCTTACCTGGGCATGCTTCCCGAGCCCGTCAGGGCAGGGAATCCGGAGGAAGGAGGCAGAGCTCTGCCCTCCAGGAGCTCCTGGTAAAATGGAAGAGCATTGCCTGCCTGCACAGACCTGCAGACTGAGCAGCTAGGGAAGGCCGTACAGTTCAGAGAGCTCCAGGATCAGAGGGAGGAGAGGGTTCTGTCAGTCCAGGAAGACGGGAAGAGAGAAGAGGGCTGGGCTGGAGGTGGGTGTGCGGAGGATGGGGCATCTGGGCGTGGGGAGCAAGGAGACGGCATTAACCTCTCCAAGGCACAGGTGGGAAAAGCAGAGGGCCCACTTGGCCTCCTGGAAGTGTGACCTGCACTCAGTGGAGGCTGCTATCTGGGAAGGAGGGGTCGGGCTTCCGCCGCGGCCCCTAACCTTCCTCCCCTCCCCTGATCCTCTCTGGCAGGGGCCACGGTGGTGCTGAAGTCCAAGTTCTCCGCCGGTCAGTTCTGGGAAGACTGCCAACGGCACAGGGTGACAGTGTTCCAGTACATTGGGGAGTTGTGCCGATACATTGTCAACCAGCCCCCGGTGCGTGGGACAGATGGGGGACAGAGCCCCTGAGGCAGGAAGATGGGTCACGGGGCGGGACAGCAGTTGACAGGAGATCCTGAGACAGCCCAGCCTGGAGAAGCAAGTGGCCGGGTGGGATGAGGGGCCTGAGCTGGAGCAGGTTACATGGGGTGGGGACACTGGCGAACGGGGAACGGCACCTTACTTTGGAAAGCTGGCATCTTGGTGCTGAAGCTCCTGTCCCCTCCTCCCTCATCTCAGAGCAAGGCCGAGCATGGCCATAAGGTCCGGCTGGCAGTGGGCAGTGGGCTGCGCCCGGACACCTGGGAGCGTTTTGTGCGGCGCTTCGGGCCTCTGCAGGTGCTGGAGACATATGGGATGACCGAGGGCAACGTGGCCACCTTCAACTACACAGGACAGCGGGGTGCGATAGGACGGGACTCCTGGCTTTACAAGGTGAGGGGCAGAAAAGGAGGTGAGAGTAGCTGTAGAACAGCGGGAAGCTGGGGGCAGGGGGGCTTGTGCCAACTGAAATGACCAAGTCCTGGGTCTCCCCTCCCCAGCGCCTCTTCCCCTTCTCTCTGATTCGCTGTGACATCACCACAGGGGAGCCAGTTCGGGACACCCGGGGGCACTGTATGGCCACATCTCCTGGTTGGTGCTCAGGTGGGGCGGGTGGGGGTGGTGCAGCTGGCAGAGGAGGATGGGGGGATGGGGTAGGATGGGAGGCAGGAGGCTCTAGGCAAGGCGGGCAGTCACCCTTGACCCCAGCGACTCTGCCAGGTGAGCCTGGGCTGCTGGTGGCCCCAGTGAGCCAGCAGTCCCCATTCCTGGGCTACGCTGGGGGCCCAGAGCTGGCCCGGGGAAAGCTGCTAGAGGATGTTTTCCGGCCTGGGGATGTTTTCTTCAACACTGGGGACCTGTTGGTCTGTGATGATCAAGGCTTTCTGCACTTCCATGACCGTACCGGAGACACTTTCAGGTATCTGTCCATGACTTCCTGATTCCTTGTCCTTGACATCTGATCTCTGGGGTCTCAGCTCCTAATGTCCCACTTCAACCCAGAGCTTCATCTAATGTCTCCTTCTCAGACCTCCTAAACCCTTAATCCCCATGACAGGCTGGCACCCTGGTCTCTGGCCTCACCCCTGACCTCTGTCTGTCTCCATCCAACTCATAAAGCCCTGACCCGCACTCACACTTTTGAATCTCTGCTCTCTGGCAGATGGAAGGGGGAAAATGTAGCCACAACCGAGGTGGCAGAGGTCTTAGAGGCCCTGGATTGTCTTCAGGAGGTGAGCGTCTATGGAGTCTCTGTGCCAGGTGACTAGGCGTGGGGGGTGGGGAGGCACCCACCCCACCACCCCGTGGTCAGCCATGGGGCGGCTCACCCACCTCCCACACCCACCAGGGCATGAAGGAAAGGCTGGGATGGCAGCCCTGGTGCTGCGACCCCCCCACTCTTTGGACCTTGTGCGTCTCTACGCCCACGTCTCTGAGAATTTGCCACCTTACGCCCGGCCTCGATTCCTAAGACTCCAGGTAACCAGCCTGTCCTGCTCCCACCCCCCAAGCCACCAAGGGCCCCCCCAGAACACAGTCTGGGCAGAGGAAGCACAGTTCCTTCCCACATTCCTGCTTTTCACCCCCTTCTTTCTCTCTGTCCCCTCCAAGTCTGGCTCTCTCTTCCCTGTCACCTGTCCCCCCTAAACCCAGACCTCGAGTCCCTTTTCCCCCCACCTGCCCCTCACCCTTCGGGGCATTTTACAGAGGTTGACCCCTGGATTGGGCAGAATACCTTGTCCTTCAGCTCCCTTGGGCCCCTCTCTCCCTGTCCCCAGGAGTCTCTGGCCACCACAGAGACCTTCAAACAGCAGAAGGTCCGGATGGCAAGTCAGGGCTTTGACCCGAGCTCACTGCCTGACGCATTTTACGTTCTGGACGAGGCTGCGGGAGCCTACGTGCCCCTCACTGCTGCCCGGCACGCTGCCCTGCTGGCTGGGGACCTTCGCATCTGAGAGACCCTCGTGTCCAAGGGGCCTGGTGGGGTGGGGGGCATTACAGTTGTCCTGGGGCTCTCAGGGAGCGTTTCTACACCAGATTTGTAATTGTTATTTTGTAATAAATGAGCCAGAGCGGCTCCGGCTCTGTTGTTCCGAGCTACAGCATCTGTGTCTTGTGTCTGTCCGTGGAACTGCTTTGCCCTGTCAGGTTTTTTCCTGGCACGGAGCCACAGGCCCCGGGTTCCTGCCGTGACTGTGTGGGCTGAGCACAGTATCTGGATCTGGGTGTTTTTCCTCTCGGTGACCCCATCTGACCCTTGTCCTCAGAAAGCCCTGGTGACTGCTGTCTGTGCGCGTGGATCCCGTCCCAGTTTTACTCCCGAGTGCAGGGCCACCGCTGCTGTGTCTGGGGAGCCAGGCCCAGAGCTGCCTCTGAGGACCCCAGGGTTGTCTCAAGAGGCTGAGGTGGACAGAAGCACACAGAAACGCTGCCCCCTGTGGCCGGCCACCACTTCTCCACAGAATCAGGTGTGGTTGGGCCTGGGAAGGTCTTCACCAGGCAAAACACCTGTTTGATTTGGGGGAAAAGGGTGTTCTAGACCCTCTACCCACCTCTCTGATTAAGCCAGTCAGGGAGGGGGAGAGGTGGGGCTGCTTGGCCCCGAATCTTAGTCATATATTCCCAGCAATAGCAGCAGGTGGGGGCCCCTCAGGTTCTAGGTGGAGAGAGTTGGAAGTCCCTCTTTGGAGTAAGGCTTAGAGTGTACGCGGAGGGGTGGAGGGCAGGAAGGATGGCGGGAAACAAACGGTAAAAAACAAACCTCTCCTGAATGAGGAGTCAAAAAGTCTACCATCTAAAAGCTTGAAATGATGAAGCTGCCTGTTTCTCCCTCTTACGGACTGAAGTTCTCCTCTGTTTTGAGCTAGAAACCAAACCCGTTGCCGTTGAGTTGATTCCAACTCACAGTGACCCTATAGGACAGTAGAATTGCCCCACAGGGTTTTCCAGAAGCGGCTGGTAGATTCAAACTGCCGACCTTTTGGTTAGCAGCCAAGTTCTTAACCACTGTGCCACCATGAGTTGGAATTGACTCAACGGCAACGAGTTTTTTATTCTGAGCTATGGGTCCCTCAAAGTATCCTGCATCCCCCTTTGGTGAGTGGCGTCTGGAGTCTTAAAAGCTACCGAGCAGCCATCTAAGATGCATCAATTGGTCCCATCCCACTTGGGGCAAAGGAGAATGAAGAAAACCAAAGACACAAGGAAAATATTAGCCCAAGAAACTAAAGGACCACATAAACCAGAGACTCCATCAGCCTGAGACCAGAAGAACTAGATGGTGCCCGGCTACCACCAGTGACCTCCCTGACAGGGAACACAACAGAGAGTCCCTGAGGGAGCAGGAGAAAAGTGCGGAGCAGAACTCAAATTCATGTAAAAAGACCAGACTTAATGGTCTGAGACTGGAGGAGCCCCTGAAATTATGGACCCCCGACGTTCTGTTAACCTAGAACTGAAACCATTCCTGAAGCCCACTCTTCAGGCAAATATTAGACTAGACAAAAAATAATACACTTGAGAAGTGTGCTTCTTAGTTCAATTAGATACAGGAGACCAAATGGGCAGCTCCTGTCCGGAGGCAGGATGAGAAGGCAGGAAGGGACAGGAACTGACTGAATGGACACAGGGAACCCAGGGTGGAAAAGGGGAGTGTGCTGTCACATTGTGGGGATTGCAACATCACAAAACTATATATGTGTATAAATTTTTGTATGAGAAATTAACTTGAGCTGTAAACTTTTACCTAAAGCAAAATTTAAAAAAAAAATTCTATTACTTTCCATTGGGTTATCTTTCCCCTTCTAACTCCTGTCCCTAACATGAGAACTGAGGGGACACGCCCCACCACCAACTTTGGGTCCTTATTGCTAGCCCTCCTGTTCCAAAACTTCACCTTGCCCCACCCACCACAAATGACCCCAGTGCAACATCACTTACAGACTAGTTCAGGTCACACCAGCTCAGGTGCAGATGATGTCTTAATGCACTGAGCAATACCTGAGCAATCTGCTCACCTCTAGCCTGCAGGAAGCAGAGTGTCATAGTTAGGGCACGTCTGGAGGGGCGCATTAGCGGCCGGCAGCGGGTCATGCCTGGTGGGGGGGTGCATCAGCGGCCGAGAGCGGGGCATGCCTGGTGGGGGGGGTGCATCAGCGGCCGAGAGCGGGGCATGCCTCGGGGGGGTGCCTCAGCAGGCAGCAGCGGGCCACCTCCAGCAGCTTTCCTGACAGACCTCAACTCAGTCCAGGCTTCCCAGGACTAGGAGCTGAGCGGCCTCCTCCTCCCTCCTGGAATCACACACCCAGTTCTTTGCCCCATAGTCCCTGTTTCATTTGGTCTAAATCTGTGGCTAGTCTGAGGCCAGATGTGCTATAAGTGTAAAATACACACCAGGTTTCAAAGAGTTCACACACACACACACACACACACACACACACACAAGACAGAAAAAAAACTTCTCATTAATAATTGTTTTAAATTGCTGGAAGAACCCCCTACCCCCAAACTATTGCTCTGAGATAATCTTTAGATCAGGAACCCTGGCGGTGCAGTGGTTAAGTGCTCCACCGCTAATGGAAAGGTTGGTGGTTGGAACTCACCAGCTCCTCCTAGGCAGAAAGACCTGGAGATCTGCTCCCCTAAAGATTACAGCCTAGGGAACCCTGTAGGGTAGTTCTAACCTGTCCTTTAGGGTCACTGTGAGTCAGAATTGACTCAACAGCACACAACAACAATAATCTTTAAACTTTAAACCACAAATATCCCCTGAAGTCTTCTTTTAACCAAACAACATCTTAGCTTAATTAGTAAAGAACATCTGCCTTGAGCATTGTGCTCTTTTAAAGAACTATATGGGAACAAATTGGCAACAGCAACTTGCAAGGTTAGAAAGGAAGCTTAGGGGGCGGTGAGCATATGTTAATGGAGGAGGAACAATTTGCAAAATGAGAGTGAGAATTGTTGCACGACTTGAAGAATATAATCCATGTCACTGAATTATACACGTAGAAATTGTTGAACTGGTGTATGTTTTGCTGTGTGTATATATATATATATATCTTAACAATAACAAAAAAAAATTTTAAATAGTTGTTTCATATTGCTTACATGTTGGAATACTGTTTTAGGATGTCGTATCGGTGAAATCAAATATAATTAAAATTAATTTGACTTGTTTCTTTTTTATACTTTTTAAAATGTGGCATCTAGAAAATTTAGAATTACACGTATGGCTCCCCTCATATTTCTACTGAACAGCACTGGTCTAAACCCTGTCCTCACACCTCACTCTGCAAACTCACAAATACCGCGTTTAACAGGCCAATTGTACCTCCATGAGTACAGCTCCTGAGTAGCTGTGTTATAGCAACGTCGGATGGGAGAAGGGGCAGGTTCTGTTGTAAGAGGCCAAGTGTAAAGTAACTGCGGCTGCCATTCTGTCCTGAAGTCCTATGGTCAGACAGTGGCTCAGCTCTGCATCACCTTCATCACAGAGGCTGTAATTAGTGGTAGAAATTGGAAACCGTAAGAAGGCTGACTTGATTCAAAAGAACTAGGTTTTCCCACAATCAGTTGAAATAAAATACACAGAATTACAAAATAATTTGCAAAGATGAAACAATTGTTGGTCCTCAGGTAATATTATGGATTGAATTATATCCTACCAAAATATGCCTTCATGTCCTAATTCCTGTGTCTGTAATTATGACCCTGTTTGAAAATAGGGGCTTTCTTTTGTTATGCTACAGAGTAGGGTGGATCCTAAATCTAATCACTTCTAAGTAGTGTCTTATGAAAAGAGCAGAACAGAACAGACACTGAGACACATTTACAGGGAGAGACGCCATGTGAGGACGGAGGCAGATGAATCTACAAGCTCAGGAATGGCAAGGATCACCAGTAGCTACTAAACGCTGAATAAACAAGGACCACACCTAGAGCCAATGCCGACTTTGACTTCTAGCTACCTGAACTGTAAGAAAATAAATTTCTCCTCTTTAAAGCCCCCCACTTGTATTTCTGTTATAGCAACACTAGCTCAATGAAACATGGCACACTCTCTTTCACGGGAGGGTGGACAACCACATGGGTAAACTGGAGAGGGAGGGACAGGAGAACCTGTCTCACCCAGTCTTCAAATTCCGGCAGAGTTCTCAGCCTTGTGACTGTGGAACTTTCCTGGGGTACTTTGGGCCACGTGACGTTGACAAATAGAAGGGTAATGGGGCACCCCATCCCAAACCAACGTCAAAGGCAGGGGTGGGCAAACTTTGTCGCTTGCTTTGTACAGCCGGTGAGCCAAGAGGGGTGCTTATATTTTTAAACAGTTAGGAAAAAATCAAAAGAAGTATATTTTGTGACGGAAAAATCATACGAACGTCACAAATTTCAGTGTCCATAAAGTTTTATTGGAACACAGTCACGCTCATTTGATCACATATTGTCCATGGTTGCTTCTATGCTACCCACAGAGTTGAGTGGTTATGACAGAGACCACATGGCCTGCGAAGCATAGAATATTTACCATGTGGCCTTTGTCAGTAAGTCTGCCGACCCCTATCTGCTCTAAAGCCCTGACAATCCCTCGTCCCTCTTTCCCGCTTGGGGGCAGTTTTACAAGCCCAGGCAGCCTGGGTGCGCCGCGTTGGGCCCCACGGAGTGGGCACATGGCTCGACGGGGAATATCCGGGAGGCCCCCTCAAGCGACACTCGGTGACTACGCCCTGCGGGACTCCGCAAAAAAAGTTCTCGGCTTGGGAGCCCGGAGAAAATAGGGCGAAGAGCAGCCACAACGGCGCAACTCGCGACCGAGCCAGAACAGACCAACAGGGGTCTCCGCCCTGTGGGCTGGGGCGGGGCTGAGACGCGCGCCTGCGCAAACCGGGCCTCATGGCGCAGGCGCAGATTGGCGACCCAGCCGGTCCCTGGGGCCCACGTGCCTGGGGGAGGAAGG